AAAAAAAAAAAAAAAGGAAAGAAAGAAAGAGAAAAGAAAAGAAATAGAAAGCGAAGCAATTCCCTTAAACTCATTCCTGGAGGCAAGTATTATTCTGATACTAAAACCAGAGAAGTACCCAACCAAAACAGAGAACTATAGGCCAATCTCCCTCATAAACATAGATGCACAAATCCTCAATAAAATACTAGCAAATAGAAAGCAGCAAATTATCAAGAAGGTTATACATTATGACCAAGTGGCATTCATCCAAGGAACGCAGGGATGGTTTAATATACACAGATCCATAAATGTAATACAAATCAACAGAGACAAAGATAAAAAAAAGCCACATGATCACCTCAATAGATGCAGAAAAAGCTTTTGACAAAGATCAACACTTATTCATGATAAAAAAAAAACCTTACAGAAAATTGGAATAGATGATCTTTACCTCAACTTGATAAAAGCCACTTATCACAAACCAACAGCCAACAGCATACTAAATGGATGAAAATTTAAAGCCTTCACTTTAAAATCAGAAGCAAGACAAGGATGCCCACTGTCACTATTCCTGTTTAATATAGTTCTGGAAACAGGAAAAGGAATAATGATGGGAAAGGAAGAAGTGAAATTATCATTATTTGAAATGATATGATACTCTTCACATAAGACTATAAAACTTCAAAACACTTGTAGATTTAATAACTAAATTCAGTAGCATAGCAGGATACAAAGTAAACACTCAAAAATCAGTAACATTTCTAGATACAAACAACAAACACCACTGAAAGAGAAATTAGGGAAACCATGCCTTTCACAATAATACACCAAAAATGAAATACTCAGGAATGAATCTCACAAAATAAAAGATTTATTTAGTGAAAATTACAGTACTGTGAAAAAAAAAAAAAAGATTTAAAAGGATTTCAGAAAATAGAAAGGTATTCCTTGCTCCTGAATAGGAAGAACCAATATTATGAAAATGCCCATACTCCCAAAATTGTTATACAGATCAGATGTAATCCCAATTAGAATACCATTAGTATACCTCACAGATGTGGAGAAAACATTCCTAAAATTCATATGGAACCAGAAGAGACCAATAATAGCAAAACCAATCATGGACCACAAAGGAAAGGCAGGAGGCATCACAATCCCTGACTTGAAATTATACTACAAAGCTACTGTAATAAAATCAGCATGGGGGCCAGGGAGATAGCTCAGTAGAATAAGCGCTTGCCTGGCAAGTACAAGGTCCTGAGTTCATAAAACAAAATCAGCATGGTACTGACAAAAAAAAGAAGAAAAAATGACCTAAGTATCAATGGAACAGATTAGAGGATACAGGCAAAGATCAACACTTATCAACCTATGAACACACTCAGCCACTTGATCTTTGATAAAAGGGTCAAACATGTTTACTGGAAGAGAGAGCTTCTTTAATAAATGGTGCTGGTGGAAAAACTGGCTTTCCATATGCCAAAGGCTAAAATTAGACCTGGGTGTATCACTATGCACAAAATTACAGTCAAAATGGATCAAAGATTTAAATATTAAAACTGAAACACTAAATCTTATGGAGGAGAGAGTAGATAATAAAGAATTTTTAAAAAGTCAGGCCTCCAAAATTCAAAGACCCAATCCAAAAATGTACATCTGAGATGAAAGTACACTTCACAAATGAAGAAATACAAATGGCAAATAAATATATGAAAAAAATGTTCAAAATCATTCGTCCTTTAAGAGATGCAAATTAAAACATTGAGATTCCATCTTACACTGGAAAGAATGACTATCATCAAGAAGTGAACCAAAAACAAATGCTCGGGGCTGGAGAGATGGCTCAGTGGTCTAAAGCACCTACTTGGAACAAACTTGGCAAAGCACAGGGACCACGGTTCGATCCCTCAGCACCACATGTCAGCCAGCCCCACCCCCTGGTGGGCTGAGCTGGCCATACACACACACACACATAAAAATGTAAAAAAAAAAAAAAAA